CAATATCTGGTTAACACTAATCTTCGGTTAAACATCTTTATCGAAGTGTTCGACACCATGCATAACACAGGGAGTTGGTAACGTCGATAACTATGTTTAATCGTAGTAACCGGCCCTTAACATAGGCGAGGGCAAAGAAAGACACGTTAACCTCTTTGACGGCGAAGAAAAATGAAGAAGACTTATTATCGCAGTCAACTATGTTTGCGAGTATACGAATTCCCAAAGAGTTTTTTTTCCGGAATGATGTTGAATCCATGTTTACGCGTCTTTTTTCACAAATTTTTTTCACGCATCCTTTTTCGCCGTCAAAACACTTGATCGTCTTTATTCGTGTCAAGTGACTATATTATTATTATTACGTCGGAGATACCCGCTTTGCGACCTAAGAAGATATATTGTGCTAAATCCTAATTGTAAGAGCTCCAACCTTAGGCTATTTAAAAACTCAGCACTTTGGATAAAAATTTTAGATGGAGAAGACAATCCTTCCCCAAAGTGCATCAATCTACTATTCATGCTCCGTGGACAGGCACATAGAATATACTCTGGGGTTTCCTTAAACGGCCCACAAAACCTACATCAGTCTCTACAGAAAGATGCTTTAATTCAATCGGTACGTTAACTTGCAGTGTGCTGTCAGGCAGCCAGTAAGAGTTTTAAGTTCAAGGTATCTTTCGGAGTTCCTCCAGAAAAATTATGAATCTCTTTGATTGTCTTATTCCCTTCGACTTCCGCCAGTGTGCAGAAATTTCCAGCTAGCTCCTAAGTAGGTTTGCAGTGTATCCTTTAGATGTACCGGAGAAAGGCTCGGAACCATGCAAACCCATTTGGGCTCCACTCTTTGCAAGACAGTCAGCCGTTTCTTTGCTTTCAAACCCTTCATGTCCCTGAACCCTCCACAGCGGTACGCAATTGTGGGCTCCCAGGTGGTTCAGGAGTTCACAAGCCTTGATGCCGTTTAAAAGACTCTAAGGTTTCTAAAGCTGCCAGAATATCTTACATAATATTTATTCTGGCCTAATTTGCCTTCTACGAAAAAATTCGTGAACACAGACTTCGACTGCGAAGACCTCCGCACAGAATACTGTTGGGTACAAGCCCATTGACAGACTTTCCTGGAATCTTGGTCCAAGTACCCCATAAAGTATATATGGATGTTCGTATTGTATATTGGCAATAATAAGGGTATACGTTTGTACTGAGGAATCATGTGTACGCACCGGTGAATTATTAAGGTAAAAAAAATTGCTAAAATGTTTGGAGATACATATTTTCTATTTTTCTCAAGTAACTATTACTCGTAGCTCCGAAACCTACCAAAATTAAATCAAGCCTACCAACCTTCCAAATGGAAAAAAAACTACCAGTTTTGGTAGGAAAAGCCACTGCTTTGGATCACGTTAACCGATTTCTATAATTCTTTTTTTTTTAAAGGTGGTCCCACACTAATTTGGTTTAAATCCGATCATTGGATCATGAAGAAATTAACGATAATCTTACATTTGTATATGAGCATTGAAGTCGGTTTTGTTTTTTTTGCTTAAAAATTAGTTGTCCATTTATTTATGAATGATGAGGTGAACAGAAATAATTTTGTTTTGTACAATAGTAACCGTGCAAAGGCCGCTAATAATTTAACTAGCCAAAGGCAGCACTGACGCAAAGTGATACTGTCATTATCTCAACTTCGACCCATTTGTGGCACGGGTTAGACTAGATTAATTTAGCCAAAATTTTTAGGGAATTACTTTTTCAATAGAGGTAACCGTTTTTAGGGGTAGCACCCGCAAATTTCCGATTTTCAAAAATAAGGGCCACTTTAATGTACATATATAAGAACGAAGCCGTAAGCAGTTTTGTTTTTAATTAGCTATAAATTTTGAAAATGAATTACGGTTTGGCTGAGACATTCGACTTTGACCAATATGTTCTGCACTTTTTCTAGTACTAAAATTTAAGTGAGATATCACATTCTTCTTCTTCTTCTTTGGCGCTGTAACCGCCTAAGCGATTTTGGCCGAGTTCAGAAAAGCACGCCAGTCGTTTCTCCTCTGTGCCAACTGACGCCAATTGGAAACGCCAAGTGAAGCCAAGTCCTTCTCCACCTGATCTTTCCATCGCAGTGGGGGCCTCCCTCTTCCTCTGCTACCACCAGCGGGTTCCGAGTTGAATACTTTCAGAGCTGGAGCGTCGGTGTCCATTCGAACGACATGACCAAGCCAGCGGAGCCGCTGTATTTTAATTCGCTGCACTATGTCCAT